TTTGTCCATATCTCTAGAAAAGTCTCTCTTGTTTTTCATTCTCATTTCCATAACATTGAATATTAGTAACTTTTTGTTTAGGGGTATTTTAAGTAATTAATTAAAGGTAAATTGAAATTCTTAATAGAAATAAAAACATTTATTAACAATATTGGACAATGACAACACCGATATGGTGTGTGAGATCACCCACAAGATGCATTAATTGTTTTTAACAACTAATAGAATGCCACTATTTTCTTATAAAAATATCTATTCTACCATTCTAAATGACAAAAAATATCCGTACTTGAAAAATTCTGTATTACAATTCAATGGTATTTTAATGTTAAAAATGTTAAGCACTTTAACGGTCTACACCACCAAGTGGTGTAGCCTAACAAAAGCCATATCCATATATATATATAAGATACTACAAAACGGCAATAAACGAAAATGAACACTGATTTCACCTACCCTCATCACCATCGAAACTTCATCCCATGATCATAATTGTCCGGTGGTATTTCAATTTTCATTTTTTTTAACTAATCGAAATGATTAGAAATTTGAAACGTGTGTATATCTTAATGAAACGCACCTAATAAAAATATGAAAAAATAATAATTCGTAAACTATAAATTAACTAAAATACCCGCATAAATTTTTTGAAGTATTTTAATCAATTTATATTTTACAAATTAATTTTTTTATATTTTTATTAAATGCACCTCACTAAGATGTACACATACGCCAAATTTAAGTAATTTGAGTTTGTAAAAAAAAAATGAAAAATAAAACACAACCACATAATTGTGACCGTACGATAAAAATTGAATGGTAATGAACATAAGCGAAATCACTGGTCATTTCGCCTATACGCATTGAGAAGAGTTTTCCTCCCTCTCTCGCCTATAGCCTTAAAAAAGAAAAATATGATGCACATCCAAACAATAGCCCCATTTGATTAAATTCAAAATGGTAAATTTCAGCGGTCTTATCTAGAGTTCCAAACGATGGTTAAAAACAAAAACTAATGCATTAAAGACGTCAGAATTATTTAACGGTTGAAAACAAAAATCTGTTAATATATCACAAGTAATATTTTCTTGAGGCCGACTGTTGACAAACTGCTGGGAACGATCCAAAAAACTCTTAAAAAGTAGGAATTTTGAATCTTAAAGTGACAACCGTGCAAATTTAAAATAACCATAAAAATAAAAATGAAAATGGTCTCATTTCTCATATGCTGATAACTACAACTCATTTTACACGCATTCAGAAACGTAAACCGCAGTCTGTTTTCTTCTTTAAGAATTTTTGCCTGTTATAAGAAATGAAGGCAAATGAGACTCCAAGATGGTAAGAAGCTCATCTTTGGAGCGGCCACAGAGTTGGTCGACACTACCAAAGGCAGCTCCTTCAAGCCTCCACACTGCCTCCACCAGTTGACCGCGCAACCACTGAGACAAAAGCTGACCCCCCGCTTCTACACATTCCTTGTACAATGGCAAGTATGCTATTGCAACCTGTAAAAATAGACAAATTATACCCATAAAAAAAGAGAAGAAAAATAGGTCTAGAATTATTGGCTTAGTGGACTGGATGATCTAAACCCTAATATATTGAGTCTCGAGTGTGTCTCAGTCTCTTCCACACACAAACACAAAAAAAAAAAGGGGCAATGGAAAAGAGTAGGAATATGAGGACAAATGATGTTAAGTGATGCTGCCATAGGCGATGCTCCCATAGGCTCTCTTCTCTCTCTCTCTCACGCACAGCCATGCATCCAAGATCCAACCAATTGCATCTACAGATACAAACATCAATGGATGGACAAAATAGAAAAACGCCCACATGATTCTTCAAAGCTACTAAACCATATGATCACAGAAATCTGCACTGCAATGAGATAAACACACACTCTCTCTCATTCCAATTATTCCTCACCCACCTGCAAAAACCAAAGAGAGTCTGAATCTTCCACTTTACCTGCAATGGCGTAGGTAGGTCCCAGACCCGCAACGCCGATGCCCCACGCTTTAAAACTCTCTCCAAATTCACATAGTGCTCCTCCCCACACCTCCTCCCCCTCAAGAATGCCCCCTCCGACCAACCCTCTCTAAAGAAATCCCTCAGCTCTGGCGTCACCCCTTCCTCCTCCTTCGCCCTTGCTACCCTCTCTGCCGCCCCATATGTTGCCTCTGCTCCCCCCAAAAAATCCGATCTCAAGAGAAACGCCACCCCCTCAAAAGAGCCCCCACTTCTCTCTCCCGCCGCTTTTATAATCTCGGTGCTAAGGGCCAAGACAACATGAGGAGGCACTCGTGGCAAGAGATAGGCAGCAGCTTCAAGGCGGCTACTTGAGGCGGCAGCGGTTAGGGCGAGGCATAGCTCCATGTCTCGACAACCTCTCTCTACAAACCATTTCACTACTGTCATGCAACCCCTCTCAGAGGCTCGCATTAGGGGGCCTAAGAAGGCCCCTGCATGACCTTCGTCGACCAGGCACTCCATGGTACTTATCTTGCGGTAGTGAGATGCAAAGCCAAGCGCAAGCTCCACATCCACATCCAGACTGTTACGCTGTGCGATCTGTGGTGAACAAATGCATCATAATAAAGTTTGTTTCGATAAGTGAGGCAATTTTTATAAGCATACTGTAGAAAAGAGCACTGGCATAACAATGAAGCTGCTAAAGATGCATCACCCATGAGATGTCAAAGTGTTCTTTACAAAAACTCCCAAGTAATTCAAGCAAACAGCAGTTACAAGCATAGTGAGCAAAAGAGCAGTAGCCTAACAACGAAGCTGCTAATGATGACGCACCACCCATTAGATATCGAGGTGCTCTATAGGAAAACTCCAAATGATTCTAGCAAAACAGCAGCTAATAAGGTAGTTCATGAAATTACAAACTTAACAAGGCATGTTTTGTGAAACTCAAGCCACAATACTTGAAGAGATATCATCAATAAAAGATGCAACAAGGCACTGCAACTGTCAATTTCAGTAAGGGAAAAAAAACAACAATAAACCTTCTCCACCAGATCCAATCAGCACCGGTAGACCAGATTAACAAAGACTTTATACTGGTGAAAAGAGACCTCAGGTCGCTAACCTTGTCTTTCTTTTTTGTTTTTTTTGTTTTCGCTAACCTTGTCTTTCTTTCTTGTTTTTTTTGTTTTACGCTTTTCAAACTTGTCTTATATAGAACGTGTCCGGATTAGAATTTAGAAGCTAGGGTCTTGAAATCTGGAGAACATGACTGAAAGGGAGCTTCTCAGCACCAGGTCTCATTCTAGAATAAAGCATGACTGATCAGAACCACCCTAAACCTATCCTGCAACTGATAGGCGCTATATGTCTTTGCATCCCCGATTCCCTATTTACCTACCCAATTCTCTCAAAACTCACTCACTCCAAGTACTACTATTGTATCTAGCATCTACCCTTAAGATCTTTTTACAACAAAGTAACCCTGCTAGCGCCGAATTGCAATAACTAAATTCTTTTTCATATGAGCACACTTTTAGCCCTCCCCAAACTAATCTTTTGGCTTGTAGAACTCTTTCCATTTCATTCATCATGTCAATCTTGTACATTTATTTGGTTTCCTAGGCAAAAGAACTCTCCTATGGTGGTTCATATTCTTTCAAGATTCTCTATAACGAGGTTTCTAACTCCAATTCTTTGGTTACTCACACAGGGGGAACCCAAAGCACTTGCCAGGATCGATTCCAAACTAAAACCAGGACAGAGCAACCTCCTCTAGCTGCGTGTTAATCCCTATCCCAAAGCGGAGCTCTTACTCCCAGTCATCCTTTTGTTAAGAGGCTTCTAAAACAGTTAAGATTCTCAAAAAACCACTCATTATATGTCATCTGTGAACTAAAATGGGTGACAAACAAATCCAACTGAGTATGGTCAATGTCCTTCTACTTTTTCTTGTTGATACCCACTCTTTTACGATGTGCATCACGTTCATATCAAAGAGATGAGAGAGAGATGAGAGAGAGAGAGAGAGAGAGAGAGAGAGAGAGATGCAAGAGAGAATGAAGATAGAA